TCTTTTGTAGAATTAAAAGCAAACAATCTAGATAAGATAAGAGTATATTTGTGTGATAATTTTTCTAGATCCATGACATCAAGCCAATTCATTTTATAACTTAAAGTGATTTTTCAAGTAGATAAGTATTTGTTTTCCAGGTGATTGAGTTATTTGTTGAATTATATATATCAATACCAATTTGTTAAATTTATATCGTGGGGAACCGCTGGACTTAGTGTCCAGAAGGTAATACTTTAAACTTACCGAAAGCAAAGCACGCGAGGGCCTTGCTGATACAAAATCATTAGTGGAAGATCCTTGTGAAGACTGACTATCACTAGAAAAGTCCGAATGGTTAGAATGACTGTCACTCATTTCCAGCTTCATCGTCATAACGTTCTTTTCAATTTCTCAATAACACACTTTACGTAATTTATTATCACTGCGTAATAACCCGTTATCACTCGGATCGCAAGTTCTAAAAATCTGACAGTTCAAACTTTATGTATTAATCATTGATGACAACAATATTATTTAATTCATTTTATAGAAAACATATATTTGAAAAGTATGCTACGCTATGAAGAACAACAATGATGAGTCATCGATGCAGTTTTTGCGATGACGTCGTTCTCTCTTTGGGGATGCCCTTCTCCTGAGAATTTGTTATGTTGCGAGAACCGAAACGACCTAAGAGACCAAGTTTTCAATAAGCACACATACTTTTTATCACAATATAATCTTCTCCAACCTTAAGAACTTTATGGTGAGCTCACTTTCTAAAAATACATTTTGACGTGATATTGCACCAATCACAATCGTTTTTGTCATGACGTCATCTCTATTTTGTTCTTGGACTTGAGACAAACTCACTTTGTGACAGGCGTGACCCACTAACGCCAAACGAATTTGTATGGAAATGGTCACGTGACTGAACGTGAGGAAATATCATTGCAAAGTGACTTTGATTCAGGCCCTAGGCTTGGTGGACTTTTATAAAACATATTTATGTTGGTTAATTACATGATCAATGTTGCGAGATGAGAATATCCAAAATACATGAACATGACCAGTTTAATACTAATTAGTGCGGGTGAACCAGTTTTTATATCCTTCGTGCTAATGTTAAACAGAATTAGGACTATAAAACCAAAAAAAAGCAATTTCCCATTTTTTTATCGAAAATTAATAATTAAAATACCACTTTAATTAATAGAGTGAGCTGCTAAATGGTTTGACTGGAAAATGTGGGCCAGTATTTTTTGTGTTGGTTACCCCGCAAATTTCCATCTTTCGTATTTTGCAAATCTGCCTAATAATTATGGTAGCCATTAACAAGAAATACCACTAGGATCCCACTAGAATAAATATATAATATATAATAATACGTACTAAATCCTGATCAGTGGTTTGTGATTTCTGGTGTTTTCTTATATGCTGCCTTTTTGTATTAAGTCGCGCTGCAGTTCACCATCCTCACCATCTCTACGTCATACCCTGAAACGCGATTAAACGAAGTTATTCCTACATACAACTTCTCGATCATAGCCAATGGGGACCAGTTAGTAATTAGACTGGTCGAATATTCTGCCTTTAGGGTCGAGGGACTGTTCAGCCTCCTCTGTCTGTCTGTCCTCCACATCAGCATAAAATATGATAAATATCGATTAGCAAAAAATTTCAGTATAACGTAATACATACATTATAACTTATAAGGTAATTATTGTAGATTAACAAAATTTCAACTGCAAACTTTCAATTTTATCTATGGATGTGTTAACTTAAGGAAAAACAATTTCATATAACAATATTACTTTTCCTTTACAAGGCGTGGAGGCTTTAAGCTTCGCGGTAACTCCTAAATGATTTCATGCAGCATGAGTCCAGAACATTTCGATGTCTGTTTCATAATTTACCAGGATTTGAAACCGGGCGTCAGGACCTCGCGTTGTAAAGTAACCGTAGAACGTAATTTTAATTAATTAATATATGTAACACGTATTATATTAATCGTCATTTTATTAACATAAATATATATTTTTTAAATTAAAAACGTGTCTAATTAATTTTAAAAATGTAATTCTTAAGTGCCCGTTCCAAAACTGAACTCGGCTTAAGAACATACATTTTTTTTTCAAAAAAGTTAGTATTTTTTAAATTTATTAATAGACCACAAGCCCATGAACAAAAAATACCTGTGAAATGACCCAACGTGAATTACGCTTAGAAGGCTGTTACTATATCTGAAAATAGCTCTGAGCACTATGCCGTCATTTCTGAGCGGTACATGTGAGTACGTGAGTGAATGGACTTTCTCATGTACAATGGGGAATTTCGGTTAATTATTAATGTACGGCTTTGTTATAAGTGTATAGATGATTAAAAATAAATGTCGAAAAACCTAGTGCCGTACAAAAGTGATGGTGCCGGAAGTCGGTGCAAATTTTTAATTCGACGACAGTTGCAGGAGCAATATAGGTCATTTATTACTGTACGGCATTTGTGTCATTCCTTTTGGACACATATACAGATACTTTACCCGTAAACGCCGTACATATTCCCAGCGGAGCGGTCGAAAGCCAAGGGTCGCAACATATGTCTGATTAGCATATAGGTGATGATGATATGAATCAACATAAAATTAATTGATCTTGAGAGTACTTCACAAATAGATAACATTTTCCAGCATGCCGTACATTTTTTGTGGAACACATAGGTGTATGGGGCAAATTACTTTTCTCAGAAAAGAGTCATTTTCCGGTGACTTTTATCTGTACGGCAATAACACAGGTTATTAATACTTTAGACAATCTTCAATAAAAGATAAATGCCGTACACTTTCGATAGTCCGCTACCACCGCCTACCAATACAGGGCGTCCCAAAGTTATGGGAAATGAAGGGAAAGTACCTTAAATATCGTAGATAGGGTATTTTACTAAAAGAAGACTTTATGTTATTTTTAAAAGTTATTAATTCTGCATTCAAAGATTTTTTAAAAATTACTTGCCTCGTCTGGGAATCGAACTGACTTAAATGTAAAAAAAACACCCTACTTTTATGATGCCAATCGAAAGAATGGCCTAAAACTAATAACTCTTCTTAAGTAACATAGTATTTTAAAAGAAAGGAACAGCGTGAATATACCTTTTTAATCAAATTAAAAACATTATCTATCGTATTCGGCCTAAAAAATCCCCTACGAGTCTGTTACTTTAGAAAAGTTATTAGGTTTTGGCCATTCTTACGATTGGCATCATAAAAGTAGGGGTGTTTTTTTTTAATTTAAGCCGGTTCGATTTCCAGACGAGGCAAGTAGTTTTAAAAAAATCTTTGAATGCAGAATTACTAACTTTTATAAATAACATAAAGTCTTCTTTTAGTAAAATACCCTATCTGCGATATTTAAGGTACTTTCCCTTCATGTCTCATAACTTTGGGACGCCCTGTATTATATATATTTTTGTTAAAAATATTTTTCCTTTACCTCTCTCTGCTGGTACGATAAGGCTGTAAATATACTTTACAGCCTTATGGTAGTATACTCAGATATGTACAGTTATTAATGACCTTAAGGGACACCTCAAACGTCGTCGAAGTTTTTATCAGCTGTAAAGAATAATCTGGAGTAAAATGTACGGCATCTGGTTTTTTTGTTTATTTATATTTGTTACATATAAAATAACAATAATCTTTGAAAATATTACTCCCCATATTACTATAGGAGCATTTGAAAAGTCATCTAAATTTCGGAAATTTCATATATTTTTTATCATAATATTTTTATTTGTTACCATTTATAATGAACGGCTATAATGTACAACGGTAATATTTAGTAACATTATGTAAAAAAACAAGTTGCCGTACATTATTCTCTGATCTTACAGCAGTAAGAACTTGGTTAATCCTGAAATTTCGATAAATATTTAATTACACAAATATTAACTATAATATTTGGACGGCATAATTATAAAACATTATTGTCCGTGTTAAATAATATTTTGAACATGTTGCCGTACATTTTACAATGACCTTAGGGTATATGGGTGTAGGGGTAGGGTTCCGACCCTTGGCTTTCGACCGCTCCGCTGGAAATATGTACGGCGTTTACGGGTAAAGTATCTGTATATGTGTCCAAAAGGAATGACACAAATGCCGTACAGTAATAAATGACCTATATTGCTCCTGCAACTGTCGTCGAATTAAAAATTTGCACCGACTTCCGGCACCATCACTTTTGTACGGCACTAGGTTTTTCGACATTTATTTTTAATCATCTATACACTTATAACAAAGCCGTACATTAATAATTAGTCGAAATTCCCCCATTGTACATGAGAAAGTCCATTCACTCACGTACTCACATGTACCGCTCAGAAATGACGGCATAGTGCTCAGAGCTATTTTCAGATATAGTAACAGCCTTCTAAGCGTAATTCAGGTTGGGTCATTTCACAGGTATTTTTTTGTTCATGGGCTTGTGGTCTATAACTTTCTATATATCCAGAACAAGTTTCTTGTATATGTATTATCCAGAATCGTGCAATGATTGTCTAGCCGAACCTTATTGTGCCACTAAGCGTGCTAATTGTCAAAATCCTGATGTCAGCGGTCAAAGTTTCATCATCAGTCGTAATTGTCAGAAATCAATCGACAATAATGTTAATTGTAACTGTAACTGCGGGTTGTTTTTAATTTTGATTTTTGAAATATAATATATCAGATGGGCATGGCATGGGCATTGGGCATTGAGCGCATGTTTATGATTTTGTTAATTTGACTAAATAAATTATAAAATTTAAATTTCTTCTTATTGTAGCAAAAGCATATTTGATCTGGTATTTTAAAAGGTATTCTTAGTTATTTGCCCACAAGATTGAAATGAAAAGTAAATACCATGCTAATTACAAATATTCTTATAAAGCAAAAGAAGATTATCAATCTTAAATTAATTTAAATTAAGTGTACGGAAGGCGTTGGTCCAATAATATTTATAACTAATATCAAGCAAACGCACGCAATGTCATCTGGAAAAAAATGTAAACATTGTGGGTCATCCGAAATCGAAGTTGACCCTGCGAGAGGAGATGCTGTGTGTACAAACTGTGGATCTGTCCTCGAAGATAGTATTATTGTAGCTGATATTGAGTTTCAAGAGACTGCACATGGTGGAGCCTCAGTTATTGGCCAGTTTGTGTCAGCTGAATCAAAGGGAGGCGCATCAGGATTTGGAAGAGGTTTGTTCATAAATAATTTAAATTGAAACTTAGAACTTTAATCCAACTTACGTTTATTAACACATATTTATCAAACATTTGATTCTGTCATAATTTATAATCTATACATCTAATTTAATTCGCATCATTATTTGGTTTTAGCATTCAATTCTGGAATAGGCCAAGAATCTAGAGAGGTCACATTACGGAGAGCAAGAGATGGAATCACAGCATTGTGCCAACAGCTGCGTTTAAATCAGCAATGTATTGATATTGCGTGTAATTTCTTCAAGTTGGCACTTATGCGTCACCTGACTATTGGACGACCGTCAGCACTCACACAGGCTGCGTGTGTTTATATGATGTGTAGAACAGAAGGGACTGCTCGTATCCTTTATCATCATACTACTATATCCGATATCATCATACTAGTTATAAACCATAATATATTCAGTGTCCATATTCTAGTCTAAGTCAACTTTTTCTTCATAGAATGTAAATAATCAATTCAAAAGTCAAAAATCATTTATTCATATAGATAACACAATGTACACTTATAAATGTCAAAAAAGAAATATACATTAAATGCTTCTAATTTTACATTTACTGCCAGTTCTCAAATCAAGGGCATAGAATGGAAGATAAGTACTGGCTATAGACTCTCCGCTACTCTTTTTTTTAGATTGTTAATTGCCTATTGAAAGTCAAATTAAAAATCTTATACTTGAAGTAGAGAATTTATATACCATATTTGTTAATATCTTTTAAAACAGGAATCCTTAACTGTTATCAGATCTATTAATTGATATAAGTGATGCACTGCAGATATGTTGTTATCAACTGGGTCGCACATACTTCAAACTCTCGAAGACTCTCTGCATCAACATTCCACCAACTGGTAAGTACTCTTATAATTCTTATTATAATTTTGCCATAGCAGAAGAAATGTTAATTTACTAACATGTCAAGACATTTCAATGTATGTCTGTGTCTTGCCATTACCATAAACAGACCAACAACTTATAACTAAAACCTGATATGATGGTTATTTTTAATTTTGAAATCAGTTAAAGCGGTTTCTGAATTTTTAAGTTATTTTTTGTACCTTTTAATTTCTCTAATTATATTTCATCCCATAAGACATGTCACTAAAACAAGGATTAATTAAAACAAATTGCAAAGCTTTAAATATTTATTGTAAATAAGTTGTAGTCCTAAGATAAACTTATAATTTTTAGAGAGCCTTTATACAACACCCATATCACATTATGGTACTTAAGTTAATAATAATAAACGTTAACAATACATAATATACACAATTTTTACGTAATAATTTAACATTATGGGAATGATGGAAAATCTTTTTAGTCCATAGTTTTTGTAAGATGTTGAGAATTTTCATCAATACACTAAACATAGTAGTAGTTTAAGGGATGTTTACTTCTCGATTGTCAGTCATCATTTGTATTAACATTAACTATTGCTGCATTCACTGTGGGACCATAGTAAATTAGTTCTGGAATTTGGCCTCCTTGTACACCTGTTCCATTTGTGCTCTCAGAAGAACAATGAAATTGGAATGTGACTGTTCCCATGTAAACTTCAGTCAAGCCTTCCTGCCCAAAGTAACTTAGTTCACTTCCATCAAGCACTGCAGATGCAGTGTATAGACATTCAGGCTCAATTTGTATAGGATTTTCAAAGTATACATGGAATGTGCTACTTGATCCATCAGAAAAGAATTTCGTATTGTTTTCAGCAAGTACTCGTCCTAACCTTTTTAATTCAATTTTGACATTGTAATCTGCTGCACCATTAGAGGAACCATATAAACCAAAGCCTACAACAAATATCCTTTTATCCACACAAAATTGTATAGAATCACATCTTCCTCTGTACCTCCATTGGTTGCTTCGGTATGCACAGGACTGGAATCGGTGACATATCTGAAAAGTGGTATTAAATTGTGAGATTACATTCTTTAAAAATTATTTGTTTAGAAAGTATTTAATTTTAGCAAAAATAAAATAAATTACCTGAGCCTTAAGACCAGCTCTTGCTTTTATTGGATAAGACAACTGTGGTTTGGTAGCCGCAGTAAAATGTAAAAAAATATCTATAGTTTCTTGAGGAGTAAGAATTTCAAGTTGAGCAGCACTGTTGGCAAACTCTTCCAAAGTCATAGTAGGAAACCTTACTAAATATATGGCACTGCCAAGCATAGCCCTCTTATTAGTTGGTGTGGGTTCTATTTCCCGACGGACACATTCAGCTTGTGCCCAAGCCAAGGCAGCCTCAAAAAGATTAATTTCCTTGCAATTTAAAGTTTCTCTTGCTAGTACTGATTCCAGAGTTGATACATCAATATCAATAAAACCATCAGATGTCAGTGCCATTTCAGCCTAAAAATATTTCTATGTTAGGTTTTGCAAATTAAAACTGCAATACAATTTGCTTAAATAATTTATTTTCACAATTATTAATAATAATCATTAAAAATAATTATTACAACATATAGACATCCATAGAGTACATGCTTTGCACAACATGCAAATAATAATTTTACTCAAAATGTATTGCAGTTATTATAGCTTAATTTTTAAACTTTTGCATACTTTAAGTTTTACTAAAAAACTTAACACAATATATATTACATTGATTGTGCAAACATTAAATTATTAACCTGTACTTAAACACTGACTAGTCACAACCAATACATGCCAACAAACAAACCAAGAGTTTGGAACTAATGTAAAAATATGAATATTGTTAGTCACAGCAGTTAAGGGATTCACTGGACAAGTTATCACATTTAGTGCTAGAATGATTCTGACTAGATTCAGATAACTCCATTAATAAGCTACTATAAGAGGAAGACGGTCCAATACCCAATGTCATGAGATTTTCTGTTGACTCACATACCTGCGCATCAATTACTTCCCAACACCTTTGCATCAATTCTGGTTCCTCAAATAATCTAGATTGACTTAAAAGCAAACATGCATTTTTTGCTGTAAGACTAGTTTCTAAGTAGTTCACACATGCTCTTGCTACATGTGGGACAAAGTACTTCTTTGCTACATATAGCGTTGATAGCACTGTATCAGCTTCCAATTGAATTTCATCACAGTATAAGTATCTGTAATTTAAAAGACATACCATTAAAATATTATCTATTATTCCAAAATTGAAACCTGTCAGAATTGTTTCACATACTTGAGTAGAGTTAGAAAAGCAGATGGTTCCACGTCAGGTACCTGTATCTCTTGCTTGCACTCTGCTAATCCTCCATAAAACATAGCATAAAATACGGAACTTCCAGTTGCCAAGACATACTTATGAGCTGGGATAACTTGGATATGACCTGAAGCCCACATAGAATTTGGTCAAAATATATTTTTATTGTTTTTAAACACTTAACTATATAAATAAATAAATAAACTACCTGGTGGTCCAACAATGAATGTCACATCAGCCATAAGTTGATTATTGAACATAGCTGCATTTCTATCTCTAATTGTGACTTTTGTTGCTTGCCAATTGGGGTCAAGGGTAGCTGTGCCTGGGGGGAGTTGTAGGTAGGGCTGTGGGCGAGGGAGTGGAGCTTTTAGAGCTGCATGGGGATGTTGGCACATTGTAGCAATGCGACACCAGTGTTGTCAACTCCCTTTGAGATATTGTGTTTGGTGGAGACACTGATAATCCACCACCATTGTTGACATTTTCAGCTGAAAAAATACATAATGACATTATGTATTTTATTAATGTTTCCCATTACCAGCAAACGTAAACGATGTAAAGATTTTACTAGAATCTCAGAATCTTGTGAAAGAAATACAGCATTTAAGCTATTTTGTAAACCTGTCCTTATTGACCAAATGGCTGCGTCATAAAACTTCTAATATAAATGACCCTCACGATAAATCAATATTAATTACAATTTGGAATTCGGAGTCTTACCATTCATCCACGTATTAGTTTCATCCACTAACAAATCTGTACCGTTTGGTAACCTTTTAACGGGTTTTAAAACAATTCTAGAGCATAAATTTGACATTTTCCTAACACTATCTTTTGTAAACAACGCCAAACGCGACTGAGAGTTCGTCCAACTCTTATTTCAGTTATTTGATGCCGTGACGTAACATGAATATTGGCGTTTGTCGCCATCTTGCTTTAGCTTGTCAAGTGATGCTGACTTCCAGTTGAAACTTTTAAGTGACAATTTTCAAGATGACAACTAAACCTTGAATTTATTATAACATTATTAAACTCTGTGAATTGTAACCTTAACTCCCTACTTTCCCTCCCATCCAGCCCGATCGTCAAAATTTTAGGGAAATTTATTTCTGTTAATAAATTAAAGTTATAAATAAGATTCTCCCCTAGTCCCTACATAAGTAGTAAAATGTAAACCTCTTGTATATATTATAAGATGTCTGTGTGTGTTGTCTTTATTGTGACGTCATTTTTGTTTTGGGTAACTCTGCTTAGATTAAATTCAATGGGCGTGTTCGGCCGAAGTAAGTACTTACTAAATTTAGTAAGTCACTTACTATGCTTACAAAATTTTCGGCCGGGACACAAAATAAGTGCTAACGCAGTAAGTATGGCTTAATATACGACGCCATTTTGCTTATTGTTGATGTAAACAAAACGGACAATAAAATATCCAATAAAATATTTCTCATAAAATTATCCATTTGAAACTATTCACAGGTATTAAATTATATTCCTAAATTTAGTACTGTCAATTATATTCAGTCTATGAGGTTATGTACGGGATATGACATAAACCGGTGTTTTGTGTTATGTTAATAAGCCAGTAAGTCTGTCCTGGCCGAAAAGCGCTACAGTCAGCTTGTAAGACTTTAATTTTTTTATGCTTACTGGCTTACTAAGTTTAGTAAGTACTTACTTCGGCCGAACACGCCCAATCTATCAAAATTATCAAATCTATCCTCACCGTGTGAAGACTTAGAACGTGACATTGGCGGAATTGTGATTTACACAGATGTCGCCATTATAAATAAAGTGAAGTGAAGTGAACTCTGTGAATAGTGCGGCAGTAAAACGTTTCTAAAATGTATACCTTGTATTTGGGGTCGAATTCTCTGTACGTTTGGTCGCCGTCGTGGTGCTCGCTGTGTCGGCTCTTGACAGTTCAGTTCCGAAAACCGACCGTCTTCATCAATGAGGCTTTCAAAGAAATCCACACTGCTGTTCATTGATGACCGAGCATAGAACGCATACCAAACTATACTGCAAATAGAATAGTTATTTTATATCTATTGTTAATATTATATTATAATTAATACTCAAAAATCTCTCTATAACGTAAAAATGAGTTAAATTTATTTGGTTTAACCCAATACCCGTACATTAATTCTTCCCTCCCTCCCTATAACGAAAGATCTCTATAACGAATAAAAATGCTCGGTCCCTTGAAATTCTTTATAAAGAGTTTACACTGTAATTTGTTTGTTAGTTGTTAATAGTATAGGTAATAATTTTTTACATTGAGGGATATTCACTATAGATATTGTATGCCTATAGCGTATTACCCTTTCTATGAAAGGGAATAGGAAAGTTTAATGTTCCTTGTATCGAGTTTAAAATATTTAAAATATTATTCAATACGTTGATGAAAACAAAGGTCCTCCGAGGGCTTACTACAACAGATTGTTTTTAATTATGGTAATTGATTTAATTACTAGTTCTTATCGGATAAAAATATCAGTGTTACGATCTTATTGAGAAGTTAATAATAACATTAAAGCCATCCTGAGCTCTGAAACGTGACTAAGTCCTTGTCTTTCTTCACATTTTTTCGATTCCCAGAATTAATCATATCAGAATGATCGATTTGGGTATCGTGATAGAGGTGTGGCTATATACTGGCGTTTGCACTGCCCTTATTAAATTATTAGTTTATCACCGCAAGCCTTAACCACCTTTAACCACTTCGAAGATACTTCTCTCTTCTATTCACCACCATTAACTTTTTTTATAGAACATGGGCAAACAGAACTGTTGTTAAGTGATACCGCCGCCCACGGTCCCCCTGCCAGAAAGCTCGCAAGTGCGTTGCCGGCCTATTAGGAATTGGTGGCTCTTATCTTGAAGGACCGTAAGTTGAATTGGTTCGGAAATACTTCAGTGGGCAGGTGGTTCCATATAGTGGTGATGCGCAGCAAAAGGTACCTTATAAAGCGCTCAGTGGTGGAACGACTGAAGTCGACAACCGATGATGAGACTCAGCTGCAGCTATTGTTCTAAACAACTCCTCCGAACACTCCATGGTGAATGCGGTAGGAAATGCAGAGAGACCCCAAATCTCTACGCAACGCCAAGGTCAAGCCGCTCTGGTCGTCGATGATTCGAATCGCTCTTCCTTGAATACGGTCAAGTGGAAGGAGCTGGTACTGGATAGCCCAGGTACAGGATGGTGAGAACAGTACTCCGTGTGGGGCCGTCTCGTCTTGCTTTGGATGGTGTCTTCTTGGAGGCTAATATAGCCTTTCCCTTCGTACGTTCGATATGTTAACACCCAGTACTCCGATGCTGGCTGTGGTATAAGGAGAATGTATTCGAAGGGTGTTTTTTTAGCAGTAAACGTTTTTGTCTTCCTCGGGTTATATTGGACGTGGCAAAGTTTCGACTTCTGACACAAGTTTGTCGTGGTACGGATCGATAACTGCCCGAGAAACACCTCCATGGCCAGTGTAAAGATTATCCGATCCGATTATCCGAAAGCAGATAAGATATTCGTCATCGTTCAAAAGAAATATTTTTAAAGTCCCTTCTAATAACAAGCTTTGCCAACAAATCCTTTACCTTGTCTGCAGTAAAGCTCTCTAAAGCTCTGGTACGTCCTTCATGAATACGTTCGTTTGGCTTCTACACTTTTATCCTCCTAAAATCCTTTCTTTCCGTATATATTATTCTAACTCGGTGTCATTGAAATATTAATGGTTTATTTTTTAGTTTTGTTATTTTCTTTCCTTGTATGTTTTCGCTTGTCTTTATTAATATTAACCTTTGTTTTTTGTTTTGTCTCGCAATCTTGCACTTATTCACATTTCACTTATTATTTCTTTAATAGTGTTGCCTGGCAGAGATCGCTTAGTAGCTCGCTGTATCATGTAATTTACAGCTTTTTTTAGTTTTTTTTTAAATTTATTATTATTATTTTTCTAATTCTTCTAATTAAAAAGGCTCAATAAATAAAAATAAACCTTGCGCGCCAGATAAAAAAGTTCACAGACGTGATTCCAGAGTAGGTAGGTATAATCATATAAATTGTATACATTGCAGTAGTTGCGTATATAAAATTGCTGGTTGCAACAATGTTCGTTATTTTATAAACAAGTATTATAAATACATACATTACTATATAAAAAACTATAAAAAAACATGAATCATGAAATATCCCAATCTTAACGAATTCAATATTATTCATGGAAAGAAGTACAAATAAAATATTGAATATAAAAGTTGGAATTATAGCGGGGCCTCGGATTGATGTTATGACAAATAATTTTAAATCTAAGTTTAAAATAAAGTATTTTTGAAATTAAAAATACCGTTTTGACCTTCAAAAGTAGAAATCTTACTTCAACTCGGTTGTCCAATGACGCTTTACTTAATTAAGCATTTATTACATGATTACATAACGTGTAATTATAAATTATAATTATACAAACTGATGCAGCGTTACTACGTTTAAAATACTTAAGACTCAACGCGAACTGTCATATCGTTTTGACGTTTCGCGTCTTTCAATTGTTTTTGAAATTGTTAGGTGACAGATTTAATTACATAACCTAAAACGGTGCAACTCAAAATATAGTTTTTACCGATTTTGACATACTTCGAGCACAGAAGTCCAATTTCAGAATCTCTAAAGTAAACTGTCACATGTCAAATTGAATAAATTACTAACATAAGGAAGTAACACTTAAGTCTATGTACGCTTGCTAATAAGATGACCAACTATTTTTTGTTCAAAAAGAGGATACTTTGCAAGTATGTCATTGGTGAAAAAAAAGAAGAAAAAACTATAAAAACTTTATTTTCTTTTAAAAACATATTTTCATTTTGCATATTAAATTTGACTGGACGGCAGATAATGTTTTTACAGAAAAGTGCACCTTCTCGCTGCATCAATAATCATTCCCTAGTGAAAATACCCCTTCAACAGCAGCATTATTTCCTGGACAACATAATGAAGTTTCTATTAAAACTTTTAAATTTTCATGTGGGATACGTTCTACTATAAAATGCCGAAAGATTTCTATGCCGAATATGGGTATCTTTTGTTAAATTCTATTTTCTCATCTCATCTCATAAAAATGTTTAGAAATACAAATGAGTATAAAATTATACAAATGAGTACTTCCAGAGTACAGGATTTGAAAACATTACGGTTTGCGAAAAGAGAGTACAAAACTCAGTAAATGAGTATCGTTGGTTACCTTATTTATAAATATCCGAAAAAAATCTTACCCAGAGTGATGTGTACCTGACTCTTGCTTATCATATATTTAGTAAAATAATGCTATGCAATTATCGACTGCTGTCAATCGATTATTTCTTCATCAGCACACACAATGTGGTGAATTATTGGTTCTTTACGCTGGTTAAGAAACAGTGAATGATTTGCAGAATTCGAAATAATATTATATACGTATATATAGATTTATGAATTTTATAGTTTATTTTTCATGCAACTAATCAGTGGTTTCGGTTTAATTTATTTGTTTTGCCGTGAGTCCAATGTACGTCACTATTTTGAATGTAAATGTGTACTAGTTTTATCTATTTTATTTCATTTGCTTTTATGTACCAGGGAAAAGCTTCCAGCCGTCTCCCACATCCTGGGACTCCCTACTTTCAGAACAAATTTTGTTTATATATTTTATATTATTATAATTAATGATTCAACTTGCATGCTGCATACTTGGAATAAAGTGACCTATTTTTTCAAAAGAAACTTGCAGTAACTGTAATTATATTTATACCATTGGTATGTATTTAATTAAATTAGTAGTCTCTGTCATATTGTTTTGAAACTAGAGTATTAATTATTATTTGTTTTAATACCCGGGTATTAATATCTTAGAACGTGCCACAGTTTTTATTAATTGAATATTAATTATAACAATTTATGTAAACCAGTTCCAGTTTACGCATAAATTAATAATAAAAATATAATTATAATTTTGCAAAGATTCATAGATTAATCTCGCGCCAAATTGCTTTATAATTGGACCTGTTCTTGCTAAAAATAAATAATATGAAATGATTTTTCCTAAATGAATTGTATTGTACAGTTTTATTATTTTACTAATTAAATATCTTTGGTTATTAATTCTAAACAAAGCTATATAATCGTGACCATCGTGATAGGTACGGCATTAAAAATTCACTGAGAACACATATAACGCGCCTCAATCATGTCTCTCACGGTAGATTATAGCTCCAATTTAATATCATTTTAATAAACAAACCGATAAATGAAGAAAACCAAGTCTGCCTTAGTGAAGACCCAGCGTAGAAGTATTCTTCCAAGGACCACAGGAAACTTTTTGGATACTACAGTAGCACTGCCCTGCATTTCATTCCCTCGGGGCACAGATCATATTCACTAATCACAAATCACAAAACACATTGAAACGTCGCGCTGTCACGAATACGGTAAACTGAGTGCGCCTGCGTCGGTTTGCAACCGCGTTCCGTTGCGCAAGGCTAGGGCATGACCGTCTCCGAAATTTCGATCGTGAAAGTGCATGATGTCATTATTTAAATGCAATATATTATTTTCATTATAGTATGGGATTGTAAATTTTATATTTATTAATATATCGGGCAGTTCATATCGTAATTTGACCTCATTTGCAAATAAGAAATTAAAGATCTTATAATCTACAAAATTTGAACTGACGCAAGGTTAGTGGTCGTCATGTTCAGACCATGTGGGCCTTCAGTCCCGCTTTATCAATACTTTTTAATATTAACAGATTTAAAAGAAATAAATCGCGTATGGTTTTAGGTAAAAATTAACAAGACAAAAGTAATAGCCTCCGTGAGATAGATATTTAAATGGACTTTGTGTGTCAAACATCTCAATCACTGATCCTTGATCGGAAAATGAGTGGCGGAGAGTTTATTGCCAGTTCTTCTCTTCTGTTCTACGCCCTTGATTTGAGAACTGGCAGTAAATGTAAAATTAGAATCATTTAATGTACCTATATTTCTTGTTTGATGTTCTTAAGTGTACATTATGTTACCTATATGAATAAATGACTTTTGACTTGCTACTGACAAAGTTTATAATGTCTCAATGATAAGGGCATAAAGCGTTCATTAGGAAATATTTACACCTCAAATAGAATCAATAAAAAAATATTATCATGCAAGTAAGTTGTTAGGTATTTCCAGCCTTGTTAAATATTCAATAGATTCAATCTAACATTTCCTCAATACAAGAGGAGAGATAAAACAGCATTTGCGTTCTAAAAAGTAAAATAATTTTCTCCATATGTGATGTTAGGTCTCCTAGAGGGTGCATGCTGTGCTAGTAGGGTACGGTCTACAGAAGATTTGTGAGAACTTAGACCCTTATTTTTTCTATACGGTAACGATTGATCACCAACTTTTAATGGAATTCTTAGTTGCGGTTGTTTTTTCTCTCAAATAAACACTTGTTAAAATGAGGAGAATGAAATACTTATGAAAATATGTTATAGAAAGAATACAACCCACGAGGGGAATTAAATTAACTTTTCATTTGAGTTCAAATTACGTTTGCGTGACAATAGATAGTCCTAGAAAATATATTTTAATAAAAATATGATTTTTCAAATCAGATTTACCCTATCGTTAAATATTGAGCCTTATTCAACTACTTTACTTTAAAGACTTTAAATTAAATCAAAATCAAAAAGTTGTATTCATAATATTTCTGTGAAAATTTAACTTCTGAAGAAAAGAATAAAGAACTCTTCACAGGATATCTGGATAGGTAATTCTGCTTAAAATTACGGACAGTTTATTTCTGGCATACGACCATTTTAAATCCATCTGGGATAAAAGGCGTGAACGAAAGCAGTTTGCTGTTGGGATACCTAATATGAAAGGCACTAGTTTGAACATATTCCTGGTATCTTTTTTGGAAACTGTTGAAAGAGCTGGTGCCATTTCTGCGGTGGTAGTAGTACACTTGCCTGTGGCATCCGCTAGCGCATCCTCAGCAAGCAAAATCGGGACGTCCGGCAACGCTGCCAGCTGCTGACGCGCTGTCTCGCCTGTTTCTCTATTGATTATTGTTCTCTTCTATTTCTTATGTTGTAACCTATTAACTATAAACTTGTTCTCTAATGAGGTCTTAAAGTTCACGTGTTACGGATGTCAATAAAGCTTTTTGCATATCATTAGCATTAATTATAGTATATGTAGACACAGAAAATGTATAATAAATGGCTAAAAGTAGGAGAGGTCTATGCCAGAAGACAACGTGGCTAAAACTTTTAAAATAAAATTAATCGCGCTACAACCTTTATAGGCCTCAGATTTCTGTATATGTTTCATGATCATTTGTCAATCTAATTGGCAAGTAGGTAGCCTCCTGTGCCTGACACACGCCTGTCGAATTTTTTGGTCTAAAGCAAGCCGGTTTCCTTACGATGTTTTCCTTCACCGTTCGAGCTATTGTGTCGCGCACATAGACATAACGTCCATTGGTGCACCGCCGCATTGAACTTACGAACTTACTCAGGGATGAAAGTCGCACAGTGAAGCCACTAAGCTAAAACCGCTCACTAAAATTTTTACTAAAGAAAAATTAATGTTATTTTTTTGTCAGTTATGGTCAGTAAATCCTTTATCAGATATTAGATGCCAACTATAAATAATATCGTTAACTACTTGAACACACTTAAAGGCTCAAGTAGTTGCCCGGCTCAAGTTTCTTAAAAATTCTGATTTAAATTGTTTTAGATATATTTAGTAATTTGCTACTTAATCTATATAAATAAAAATGAATTGCAACAAATTGCAAAAAATACTTGAAGACGGCTGGACCAATTTAAGTGATTTTCGTTATTTATTTTTTGATTTCTGAGGAAGGTTTCATGGAGGGAAATTTAAAAAAAATCGTACATTGGTTTAGGGTCGGAAAATCGAACAGTTTCTATGGAGTAGCATAGCAAAATGTTAGTATGTAGCTACTAAAAAGGTAGGCTAAGTAAAAAAATCATGTTCAGGCAAAACAAAGTTCGCGGGGCCATAATAAAAATGTATTGATTAATCTGAAGTCCGATCAATCATATACAATACAATAATAGGATCCTAGTTCCACTTATTTGGCTGCTATCAATGAAATTCTTGCGAATTCTGACGTCATCAAAGGCTATTCATTGTTATTAATTCAAAACACGAGGGCGCAGCTATAAACAGACTATAAACATGCAGTTGCTCGGCGCTGTGAGGCTGCTGAATTCTTTATTTTCCATATACGCTATCGTTTGATTCAGGGACGTTTGTGTTGGAACAACGTGAATAGAATTTTTGATAAGCTGATTTAATCAGATGTTCCGGTTTTGAAGAACTAGTTCTGATAAATGTAGATTGATAACGCGTTAGACGTATTGAGTATGTGTTAGCTTTGACAAGAGGAAAATAAGGCTGTTAAAACTCATATAACAGGTTGATGATTGGTTGGTCTCACTCAGTTGTATCTACGATGTTTATATATTTAAGAGTCTTTCCTCCAACTTCGATTTTGTTCTCACTGGAGTAGTGACTCTTGGGCCGTGGGGTTCAAGTGCAAAGGTGCTAATTAATGATTTAAGTTGGCGCCTGGTAGGTTGTACCGGTGACCCCAAAGCTGTTGCTTTCCTTGCTCAACGAATTATCGCAACACAGGGAGGAAATGCTGCTAGCGTTAGGTACACTGCCACAGGGACCAAACTTTTTATATTGCTTTTTATTAATTTTTAATTATTTTTATTACTACTATGTAAGTTAAGGAAATTGTAAATACTGTATATTTGATTGTTATGTTTTGTTATGAACCGTTAAAATAAAAATTTAAATATTAAATTCGTGTTTTTCAAGTTTTCCTGTTCTTAGTCTACGTTAAGAAGCAATAGATTCAAATTTAATGTTTTAGAGGAGATCTTTACTAAAAAATCCATGCTAAAAGACAAAAAATATTGTAATACACGTGAATATTACTGCTGTAGTGATCTTTGGGATCTATCGTGATCATAAAAACTAAATCAGTGCACTTTTTCGACTACAGTATTTTGTCGTCTCTTTCTGTCAAATTCTGTTTACGCAAAGATGAAAAGAGACTGCTTTAGTTTCAAAAACGAGTTATGTCTTTACCATATCTTTCGATAGTGTTTGACAATGAAAATAGAACAATAGTAATATATTACATTTGCTAATAACTAGATTACACGTTACAGTGAATATATTATAGTAAACGGATGTCTTTATCAGTTTAATGTCTTAAAGGTCCTTTACCCCGCTTAAGTACAATAATAATTGTATTAATAATACAAAATCTTACCATTTAGCAGCCGGAAATTATCCAAAAATAGCATTGTACCTTCCGGGAAACCTTGCAAAAGATTTATCAGACTACCTACGCTGTTTCCAATATACGAAGCCTTGACGGAAGTCATTATTTTAATATGCAACAAATTTTGGAGATACCAAATATTCCGGAAGTAGAAAAAAACTGTAAGTACGGAGTAACTTGGTGTACAACAGGGGTCAATTTTAGGTGCAAGTTTTTTCATGATTTTTGGTAAAGCAATACTTAATACTTATACAATATAAAATAAAACCAGGTTTTCGCATACATATCGAAATTACTTTGACTTTCCAATCCGGTTTATATTTGCACGAATGGTCTGTCGAGATGACCCTAAACGTTTCTTGACATTGTTAAGGCCTTCGTGAGTGTAGTTTACTTTCTTGTAATTTTGATGGCGATTTAAATATTTATTACCATTCAAGATGCCTCCGTTGATATTTTTGAGCACGCTACTTATAAAATAAATAAAGCCCTTTATGACCGTTAGTTCAAACAAAATAACAAATAATTCGTAACAAAGAACAGTTATTAAATTTGTTTTAGCAACCAGTTTTATGGTTTGGTTGTCTTCTGACAAAGCCCTCCCTATTTCTACCTTATCCTGAGCTATCTCCATCTCTTCGGCCAGACTTCAGACCTTCTGCCCATCATTTTACTTGACATCCCCTCTCCCTTTTGCCTCCTCTTGGAAACATTCATAAGAAGCAAAAAACTCTGCTAATTTAAATTATTATATATTTACTAGAAGACCTGACAGATGTTGTCCTGCATGATATTTCTAGCGATTAGGATATTAAAATAATAATATAAAAGTACCTACTGAAAGCAGCGCCTGCAGATCTGCAAACCATCCAGGGCGCCACCCAAACGCATACAAAAAAATTCATTCAAATCAGTCCAGCCGTTTCAGAGGAGTTCAGTGACATATAAGCGTACAGTAGAATTATATTTATAAAGTTAAGCTATTATTTAAACAGTTATGGTCTTTGGCTTCAGTAAGTAAAAATCAG